TGGAAATTGCTCGAGTTAAAGGATAGCTGATTGAATAACTAATTAGTTCACATTTAAAGATAACGACTAACGAATAAATATAATAAACACATTTTAAATTATTATCTCTTATTTACGAATTGTTGCATAGTTGAAGAGGCAAAGCATTGTGAATTGTTTAGTAACCCTTTCTAATGATTAATGATTTGGCCAACCTTTAATTATTAGTTAGGAGCCCTTTTTAATTTTACTATATTGCTTGTAAGGAGGGACATCTCAAGTAATATAGTTGTGTGTATATTCTTAATTTTCATTTCTATTTTGCGTACCTGAACTGGTAAGACAGAGAGTAACAGCTAAGAGGGTACCCGCCGAGAAGCGCTACTAAGATATAGAAAACAAAGAAAAGGTTAAGGATTATAGCTATATTAGGCCGAGAGCCTGGGACAATATAGTGAGGAAATCAGTGATTTTATTTTTTATTCTTTTAATATAATTTATTGGGCACCCCGAGCTTACACGCTCACAATATAAATATTTATTATTTATTATTTATTTAAAAGAAAAAAAAATTAAAATATAACAATCAACATTATTATCATCACCATCATCAATGACAACATCAACAACAACATCATCCATCGTCAAGAAGAAAATCAATTATATCATCTGTCATCACCAACAACATTGAAATCTCCAACTTTTCCTTCTATGTTTTGATGACTATTAAAATTCATTAACATCATCATCATCATCCATATCTCCTTCTGCGATTTCTTTGGCAAGTTCTCTTTCTCGTTCGCGAAGAGCTTCAGCAGAATCCAATTCTTTACGGTGTGCATTGAGTGGAAACCTCATTGCCTATAGTAACAATTAATATTAATATTTTCCTTTTTCATTTCAATATATGGGCATGAGAGAATAGAATACCTTGACTGATTCATTATGAAGATTTAAGCAAAAACTAGTACGTTGATGAAAAGCAATTTGTGGTTCATTGGTTGAATAAATATCTGCATTTTCCTAATTTTTATAAATAAACTTTATATAAATAATTTTAATCAATTATAAATAATCAACAAATATATATAAATATCACACATACCTTTGATTTCATAAATCCTTTTTCATGATCTAAAGTAGCATCAATAACACCATCACGTATAGCCTAAACACTCCAAAAAAAATCAAGATTTCATTTATTGTAAATAAAATGAAGTTATACTCCAAAAAAAAAATTTTTATCCTACTTTTGCAACAATATATTCAGCATCTTCCTCGCTGTCTAGGTGTAATTTGAAACAAATATCACGTAAAGATATTCGCGAGTATGATAAACTAATCATTCTAATTCCTGTTTTTATTACATTATGTCGAAGCCTGGTCATCACCATTAAATAATAACATTTCAAATTAGAAAAATTGTGTATATGTATGTATGTTAGCATATAGATCAAACTCAAGTGATAAAAATATTTTTACAAACCTTAAAATCAATGTATAATTTTTGTCTTTACGAAAAACTTCAGCATATTTTGCCAAGGCCTCTTGGAATTTTGATAAATCACCAATTCTTACAGCTGTGATCGATATAATAATTATAAACAATTAGTATTACTAAATATTATATTTTCTTAGAAAAATATATATGTATAAGCATTACCTTGAACAAGCTTTAAATATGGAACCAATGGTTTCTTTAATACAGGTTGTCTAAACAAAGCTCGTTCAGGAATCTCTCCCATAAGTAGTTGTACAATAATTGATAATTTATAAACCTGGATTAAAGGAAAAAAATCTTCTATTTTAAAAAAATAAATCGATAAAATAAAATGTATAAATATGTAATATGTAGATTACTGTTTGTTGAAAGCCAGCTGTAGTATAATTTTGAGGTGCTTTACGAATTGCTTGTAACAGATGAGTGTGTGAAGCTGTATAATCAAGCTGAATGGCCTTGATAAGTCCTTTTGTTTTATTAAAAAAAAAGAAATTAGGCATACAACATAAATATTACTTTATTAGAAAATAGTATTATTATTTTTTTTTTGTCATTCAATAGCCAACCTAGGTAATACATATATCGAGCCTGTTGATTGTTAGCAGATGATTCCGGAAAAGTGGTCTTAGTGACAAGTTTGTCAGCTTGATCATAAAGATTATAGTGGAAATAATTTCTCAATAAAAGATTGAGTAATGTGGCCTATAAGTAGTAATAAATTAGTTCAAGTTATTAATCGATTCAAATAAATATTCGACAATAATAATGTTAGAAGCATCACACCTGAGTATCGTCATCATGTCGCAATGTAGCTGTTCTATGAGCTGCTAACAAAACTCTAAATAACAATTAAAAGAATATATTTTATGATTAGTTCAAAAAAAATTTAATAATAATTGCAAAATAAATATATGTACGGTCTTATTTCTCCCAAATTTCCTGTTAACTCATAAAATCTTGCATAATAAAAATAAATACGAGCAGACAATTGATCCAAAGTACGTCGATTTAATTTTTGGATCTTTAGGCGTGTTTCATTGGACAATTGAATACCCTAATAATAAATGGTGACAGCAATTCAATATTAAAAAAAAAAAGAATAATATGTTTGGGAGATATGACGAATGCTAAATTCACCTTTTCGAAATCTTTTTTATCCAATAAATATATCATCACCATCAAATGGAGATAAAGATCAATTTCAGGTATAATGTGTCCTTGACCACTACCATTAACTCCATCATCCATGTCAACTAGGCTAAATAAAAATGAAGAAAACAAATCAAATAAACCACAACAATTAAAATGAAATGAGATTTTAAGCTTAGCATAAATTTATATCTTTGAATTGGTTGCTTTACCTATATTATATGGAGGAATATGGAGCAAGAAATGAAAATAAAATACTGTCTATTGAGAGTCACTATAAAATGCAATTCTTTATGGTGTTATGTTCATTTTGTCTGTTTGTGTTTATATAAAACTCACTAATGTGTCACTTAATATATAAATGCCTGTTATGATTTGACAGCTGCCAGCCCTTCACAAAAAAAAATTTTTTATTAAAAATTAGAAAATAAAATTTGAATCTAATTTCTAAATGCAGATTATGAAAAATAAATCAAAGTAAAATTATGATTCAAATACAGCCAAACTTTTTATAAATTTATCAACAGCAGCCTTAAAATATTCATTATTAACACCTTCACCATGTGGATGTTCAGCTGGAGATAAAGGATTTTTGACAACATATTCTACATAAAAATTTACGTAAATTTGTCTTAATACTGGTCTAAGTGAGTCAGCGTTTGTATCTGTGTTTATCACAAACTTTAAACCTGTTGGAGTTTCATAATAATGTAATTTATAAGTTGATGTACGGTAAGATAAAAATCCATCTTGACTAATAACAATAAAAATATGTGAATATTAGAATATAAACAATAAGATGATTATTATTATAATTGTAAAATATAATTGTAACTATATTATTATTTACTGTTGTTTCCCAACTCACCTTCCAGTAAGTTTCTTGACAAAGTTTCTTAAAGAGTAAATAACACCATAAACCAATTTGGCTTCTTCATCAAGATTAATCAACCTATTCTCAGATATCATACTTGTGCTTGTTAATTGTGATGTAGTGGAAAAATTGCTTACATGATGCGCAGGTGATGAATTCGATCCTCCCGATCCCTCATTATTACTAGTTGTACTGGTTGTTGTACTTACCACATTACTATCATTGCCACTCCCTACAACTACCATTCCAGATTTACGGTGTTTATGCCAATCATGATAATAAATACAAGTGCAATGTCGATCAAATATATACAAATTATAAATCATAATTTTCTTTAAAAAATTTTAAATAATAATAAATAGATTAGTGTATTCATTATTAGTTAATTAATTGTGCAATATTTTATACATTATTATTTGTTACACGTAACTTGATACAAGAAAAAGATCTGCATTTCGTTTTTTTAAAGATGTTTTTCTTTTTCGAGTTTTTTTTAGCGTCTAATGATCCAGTTTGATTGGTGTGACTACTAAATTTCATATCATCAATCATCTTGTGACCAAGATGGAACTATTTTAATAAAAGATCGTTATTAATGATTTGTTAAAAAAAGAAGTGAAGTAAAGTAAAAATAAGAATGAATAATATATCTATATTTTTACCAGATCCTTCTTCAATCACATTTCCAGGTTTAAGAGGTAAGACTTTTATTCGTGTTAATTGTAAACCAAAGAGAATATTTATTACTTTATACAACAAGATCATAAGTTAATTGATCTTGTCCTTTTCTTTCTTTCTCCATCATCTTCGTCTAATATATTTGACGATTTCTATCACAATTTCCCTGCATTTATATTGGTCTTTAATAACATACAACCCCATAAAGTAATACCAATCCATATGAAGGCCTAAATATTCTACATAATCTTAGCCTTGAAGTGAAAATGTAGCTTTATTTTGAATAGCGGCATCTCTAAATAGAGAGCTTCTTCCAACATAAGTTTCATTAGAAAGCTTTGGTAATATAGCTTTACTTATTTTAAATCCTATTTTGTTACACAAATTGTAGATTTGCTTTTACATATATACCAGACCTCCATAAATGCACCTTCCTTTGACCCGAAGCGCAATTTCATTGGTTGCGCGTGATACACAATATTTAATTGATGGTCAGTCATAAATTTTACTAATTGACAACTTTGTATATAAAAATGGGGATGCAAATATGAGTGAAATTTTCGTTTGTGTGATTTTCCATTTACT